AAGATAATTATACTCCAACTAGATGAGTCAGAGACAGACTTAAACATGTCTCTAAATTTCAAGCAAATATATCGCTCTATATAAAATCTAAAAAAATTATAAAACGAAGTTTATATAAACGAATTTTATATATTTACAATATTAAATCATAATAAAATAAATTAATTTAAGAAAAAAAAGGAAATCTCCATATCACATAGTGAATAAGAGGAATTAAATCGTGGCAACATCGCATTTTTGCGAGCAGACATATAGACATAAGTTATCTGTCAAGATATTTATACGGAAAAAAATGTCCGCACAATTGAATTATAAAGAAAAATATATCAAAAGTACAATTTTAGCAAAAAAAAAGTGTAAGACGGCTCTCACGAAGAAACGACAAGAATGTGAAAGACAACCTCCTTGTTGATTTTCGAAAGTGCAACGTTGCCATACCTAATAGACGTTCTCGAGAAAATATATAAAATCAAGATTTTATTGACTCAAACTTTCATGCGATAAATATTTGCGGTGTTGTTACATGAGTTTCCTCACGAATTTAATTATTTGAGACTTGTTTTTCATTAACTTTTTGAATATAATTTCAAGATTATTATATTTATATGAAAATTTATATCGCATCACAGCAAAAATAGATATGTTACAATGGTAGATATAGAAAAATTTACGATCGGTTATATATCAGAAATAAAAAACGGGACGGTAATTCGAGCTCATCTTTTACAGACATATATGTATTAATGCCTAAATTATTTAAGACGAAAATTTCAAGACATTCTTGAATAATGCATTTTGGGGTATAACTGTCTTAAGTAAATTTCTAAACATTTCAGTAAAATCTTTTTCCCATATACATTTACTGTATAAGAAATCGCGTGTGCGCGTAAATTGTAGTTCTTAGACTGCGTTTCAAGACCAATAAATAATCGGCACATTCAATTTGCTCCAATTGAAAATTGGAAAAATTCATAATAAATATTATTACACAAAGAACGGCATTTTTCACTTATATATATATATATATATATATAATTTTATTGATCGATTTTTATTTAATATTGTAATTATCAATATAATAAGAAATAAATTTGTAATGCACAAATAAATATTTATATTCACAAATATATATATATCAAGCAAATAAATATATGCTCTATTTTTACATTCCAATTTTTTATACATGTAAAAAAAGGGAATTCCAATGATCGTATTTCTTTATACCTTAATCATCTACTATGAATTCTCACAATACAATATTCTATACATATTTATGCGGAATACGAGTTTTTCTGTTTATGTAAACCCGAATCGCCTCTCATCCCCGGTTCAATTCAACTATAGATTGTGGTTTACTTTTTCGAAGGGGAAAACGATATAGCGGCGGTGGAGAGGGGCATCTTCGAATTCCGTTGACCTTCTGGCGAAACGAAACGATCTTACAAGAGTTTCCTCTCAAGAAAAGTAACCCACGAGAGTGAATACAAGGGTCTAAAAAAAATATTCTATCGGCCTATCGGCGAACGTTCTACGAGGTGTTTCTAGATGAATTCCGTACGAAAAAGAGACTCGTTATATATTTGCATCTCTTCATCGAAATAAGCATTGGATGTTCTTAAATTGCTGATTTCCGACTGTTTCGTTTGATTTTTTCTATTTAAGGATCAATTTCCGGTGGGTTTTTAAGAGACAGTCGTACTTTGACGATACCACATAGCGCTGTGCATCATTAAGCATTAGAAAGAGTCTCCTAAATGAGAAATATCCGATTCATGGGCGTGCAACCGAAATTTTTTAGAATGAGTGCGTAACATGTGTCACTATAACTGGCCTGTTTCTTAACCGTCGTCACTCTGTGAAGCACAAAATCTGTCTCCCTAGAAACATTGTAAAAAAAAGCATAATTACGTGTAATAATACCTATAAAAATATCTCGATAAACATGTCAAATCAGAGCAATAAAGAGAGAGAGAGCAATAAATTAATAATTTTTCTATCTAACAAAAAGATTTTAGTTAAAAGTCATTATTCGTTTTAAGTGTACATAAGATCTTTTCAAGTATACAAAAGATCTTTATTTCATTTTTGTGAACTTTACTGTTGTGCATTCGTTGCGCACTAAGTATTTTATGACGAATCATCATTAGTTGTTGCTACTATATACCTTTTTTTGAGATATGTTATAACGATCCCTTCCGAAGACGAAGGCATAGATTTTGAATGGATCGTACACGTAAGACCTTCGAAGAACCCAGGGACTATTTCAAAAGCCTGTATCATGGACCAGGCACATTCACCCCCCGCTGTTAAGCAGCTTCGTAGCGGCAGACGAGAGGGGGTGTGGCATACGGTACACCCTCCGGGATCCTGCGGTCATCCCTAGCCGTCGGCAGCCTTTAAAGCTTCGTGCACAACGAATGTGGTATTATGCAGACTCAAGGCTACACGTTAGTCCGTTACCGAACCGCCCCATAATGAGATAAAAATAACCGTGTTTATATAGGATTACGAGACGATCAGTTTCTCTATTCGAGACATCAAGTAAAACTACGATAGAGCGAGGGTTCGCTGAAAGGATACAATTTTTCATCTCCTTCTTGCTTGTTATATTATTGTCTACCTAGAAGGATTCTCATTTATCGATTACGAGTCGTATGACAGAGGAATATGAGCAAGACACGCGCCACATCATATTATTATGTTATCAGGATCAGATATGAGATTTTGCGTAATTATGAATAACGAATGCACAAATGTACGAATCCGGCACGAGTCAAATAGGCAAATGATATTAATGGACACATTTAAATAGAAAATTTCGCTTGCTCGCATTTAAATTTATTTAATCGATATTTTACCGGAAATAATTTATGATAAGAGAGTTACGATAAGTCAATGGAAATACAAATAAATTCTTATACAGCGATATTTTATATAGCGCATCGGGTATTCACCTTGCTATAGCTATCACAATGCTTGGCATATGCGCATTTAGATATCTATGATCTATTTTTAATATTCAATCCTTATATCTCTAACTTGGAATATCGATAAGTTTTCTTACAGCGAAAATCCAAGTAGAAGAGAAATCCATAATTTTCTATCTGCGTCAGAGACAAACGTCCGATATAGATCGCGTGAGAAAATAACGTACTTGTTAAAAAAGAAAAGGAAAAGGTGCATAAAGAAAGTTCAAGCTCCAATGGAATATTGTGGAATATTGATTGTCCAATTAAACGAGCGCGAGATCTGGCACGTTCCTTTATTATATTGCACCATAATCCTATATTGCACCATAATGAATACATTTAAAATTAAAAGGGATTGTTTCTTGTCAAAATTAATTTTCGGAGAATCTACCCCTCCAGTGTCCGTCATCTCCTTGTACATATTTCCTTGGGAGGTTGAAGAAGAAGGCGGAAGAGAAGAGGGAGAAACCGGACTATCGATGAAACATTATATGTTTGCTTTTGAGTGTGCGTTAACGACATACCGCAAAGTTGGATATTAAACATCAAGGATTATATTACAGACTCGCGAATTTGCACTAATCCGCTGGTTACGATTCTCCTACCGATTAGCGTGTCAGTTTCTCTCTCACATACTCTCTTTTTCTTTTGTACCATTTCTCGCACTCGTGATATCGATTCTTCGTCTTTTCGTAAACCATATGATCATCAGCTGAAGAGAGAGAGAGAGAAAGAGCGAGAGGGGGGAGAGAGAGAGAGAGAGAGAGAGAGAGAGAGAAACGAAACCAAATTGGGAAATGCATGGAAATGAACGTTATTAAATTGTTCTACCGTGACGCCGAATCCACCCGCAGACATAAATTGACACCGACAACGTCGAATTAGGTACGGTGGGTTGTGAGGCTGTCAGATTGGTACAGGTGAAACTCAACGCGCGTGTATTCACGCCCCCAGATTCCGTGAGTACACGCACATACTTCTGCGGGGTTGAATTTGTGTTATTAATGGATTTGTTTGCGGTGCCTCTACCTCGACAATCAATATTTATTTATCGAATGTAGCGACAAGTACGGTCACGTCACGTCGGCGAGCAGGCAAAGGACGATCAGGGAATATGAGAAGAAGGACGGAGATAGGCAACGGGAATCGCAAATAAATGGTCAGCGTATTTATTTGGTGAAAAAACAAATTTATGCACTGCCGAAACGGAGCAGATTCTATGCTTAATCTGAACCCCGCTGTCCTACAAAGAGAGAAGAATAGTTGTTCGGTTTCCTGGATTTTGCCTTTTCTTTCGGTCCTTTCTTTACTTAAGCAAAAGGCAGCAAACAAATAAGAAACGGTTTTTACTCGTTTGATGTACGTTTCGGTTTCGACAATTTCTTTCGCCCTCAAAGTACTATTTTGCCTTTTAGACTTTTTAGTGTAAAATATTCTCTTCTCCAATTTCGATTACTTGTGGTCTCATACATTTCTAACAAGTAGATACGCGTAACTATCGAACGCTCCGAAAGTCCCTGTAGCGTCCCTTGAGTAATCGGGAAACAAGCAACCTGGACAAATATTGTACTACGCGAGGGCACGCAATGTACTACGACAAGTGGATAGAATGAATATTTGACAAAGTCTGCGGCCATCTCTCTGTATACGGAGTTGGTACGCTCCGTCTCGTATGGCAGTTGAGACGGTACTCCACAGCATCCGATCCGCGTGTACAGGAACGACTGCAGAACAGCATTTACGCTCCCACTCCTCTCCTCTTAGTTGCCTCTCCATCTCTACCAGCACCTATACCATCACGGTTTCGCCTCCGCCGTTACTACTACCGCCACCACCATTGCCGTTCACCACCACCGCCACTACCACCCGCCACTACCACTACCACCGATACCTCCACCACCGTCACAACCACGTTCGCCCAGCACCGGCGCCCGAGAGGCGATGGGCCCCGAGGTTTCTACGCTACGAGTCAGTTCAGTCAGTTGGCTGACATGAGCCGCGCGTGCAGGGGCTCCTGGTGTTTATCCGCTCTTAACGGCTAATCCTGAAACGCGTACCCTCGTATGTTGGGACGTGCGCGTGCACCGTACCGCCCGTGAAACATACATGAGGGGTGAAAGCGACGTTTCTCACAATTCGTACCTGTAGGGAAACATTTTTGACGTTCAACTACAAAGATCGAACTTTGAGTTTTTAACTGCGTGAATGACTTCCCCGTGACGGAAGGGAATTGGTGTGGTCTTTTACGTGTTTTCAAAATTGGTTGTCAGGTACGTGAACAGGGATCAATGTGAAATAGTTTTTTATTCAATCGAAAAACGAATACGCGTCTCAATGATCGCATTCGAGATTAAAGAATGACGTTGCGACGCGCGGTGTAACGAACTTGCAACAATGATAACGCCAGTGTCAGTGCAGTGGGGTTAAAGTGCCAGCCGGTTTATGGATAACCACGGTTCGCTGATTGGCTGCACGAGTAAGTGATGTCCGATGTTAGTTGTGTAATACATCGTGTAGCGGATTTTTCTTGTATCGTGTCGATTCAGGAAATGCGTCCCGATAGCGTTGTAAAAACATTTTTACCTGAGACATAGGTAGAAATGTAGTACATATTCACTTCTGAAATGCTGTCATATGCAGATGATGACGTAAATTATTTCACAAAATTGTGAAGTGGATTAATAAAATCGGAACAGGATGTGTCTCGAAATCGCAACAATTTTAATATCAGTTCAATATAAAGAAAATTGATATATCTTTCTAGCAGTTTAAGGTATTATATTTTTCAATTATATAAATAAATAGTTTATTTATTAAATTTATAAATTTATTTAATTTAAATGACATTACATTTTTTTTTCTTTCATAATGAAGATGTTTTGATGTTGGAAAATAGTCATGATGTTTCAGATAATTAATCGAGATAATTCATTATACGCTTTCGAGGGACTACGAATATTCCCGATTGATTCCAGTGGCTGCACATTTTCAAAAGCCCGCTAGGGACCGAATCAAAAGATGGACGTTAACATTTAACCCCTGCTCTCCTGCTGCGCCGCATCGACGCGATCCAAAAGTCTCCAGGAGCCCATTAAAAACTCGTGGCGTATTTTATTCTCAAACGAGACGAGCCTCCTCTATCTGACTTGTTCCAAAATATTATAAAATAAATTCCGGTCTTTATGCGCGACTCGATGATCATTTTCCGATATCAACTACCGGATTTGCGCGAAGCAACTATAATCTTCAACGCATACATATACAGCCACTATTGGTCTCGCAGGCTAAAATATGTACACATATTACAGGTCTGCGCATTAAATGAATGAAGTCGTTGGAAAAATTACACGAGGCAGTATTAACTCGCTATTACTTGTTGCTTCATCGGGACTATGTTTATATTCCTCTTTTATGCCTGCGGCATGAGACCTCGCCGAGAAACGAAATATGCGGAAAGTTTACGGATTATCTCTAAATCCATTTCAGTTTTATTGGATAAAATAATATGTGCAGGGTAAGCTAGGCGTAAATAACATGCAATCGAATATGTCAATAAATGGCTCCCGGGCGACCGGTAACCACGAATATCGTGCGCGAGCACGCGTAATCGTAAAGTATCCTTCCCGTGTGCAACGTCAAATAAAGATTTACAAGTACTCGAAGGCACTTACTAGAATTACATATACAGGAGCACGTAGGTTCGGTAGGACTTTTAACGGCAGCAGTAAGTTGCTGGCGATTTACGTCAGATACATGCCTGCATCTTTTACTCGGAAAGCTTTAAAATTACACTCGCACTGCTACCTATTCCATATTTATTCGTAAATACGCGAAATATATACATTACAAGGAGAACCATCTCCGAAAGTCTGGAGATTACCAGATATTCATACGTGCGCAATGTCGATTCTCGATAAAATAGCGCTATTACGTCGTTAGATTGGCTGGATTTGTAAAACGGTCGATTCAATTACAACCCCTTCAATGATGTTCCGGTAGGACGATCATATCTATCGTTTGCGATAGATCAGACATTTGCGCAATTATAATGAGGAAAATGACGCTGAAAGTACAGCATTATCTCCAACAAATCGGTAACATTACTAACTTTATACTGCATTTATTGACTGTGAATCTTTAGGTCGTGACACTCACGACCTCACGACTAATCGTAAAGATTGCATTTTTGTAGCACGAATAAATCGCTTGGGATAGAAAATGTTCGATGTATCATGGCGCACGCGTTTACTGACTGAGCATTATTAATTAATAATTCTGTGTTATCTTTTTAAACTGCAAAATGTATTAATTATATCAATGGTACTCTATTAATAATTAACGCTTTGTTCCATTTTGCAGAGTCATGTCTGTTGAAATATTTTCGCGTACCATTCATTGTAGGAACGTTAACTAATTAAACTGCGCATATAAATTTCGTGATAATAGGTATGTTAAAAAAAATGTGAAGAAGAGAGAAAGAAAAAAGAGAATAGAAAGCTTCATGATCATTTATTTCTACTTTGTTGCAAAAATTCACGCATGACTAGAATCGATAGATATCGATAAATGTGATCTAGAGCAATTCGGTGACGCATGATTCTGTTGTTATAAATAACTTGGAAGCGCGGTACGGAAGATCGAACGGAATTTCAAAATGATTACGACAGAGAGAGAGAGAGACAGACTCTTGCGACCACTGACTAAACATCTCGATCGACCGCGTCGGTGGTGCTTGGCGATTGAAAATGAGGGATCTTATTTGACTTTATTGGAGACTTTATTAAACGAGACTAACTGTCGCTTATGGGTGATGATCGTTACGACGCGGAACCGTGTGCTGCGTAGAGAAGGGTTCTCGAAAATAATGAAGAGTGGAACGCAAGGCACGTTATGCCGATGGATCTCTTTATTCTTGCTTTTATTACATTAGTCGCTTTCTGTAAATATACTGAGCGTGACACGCGCGCGCTTCTTTGAATGTTCCCGTCACCGACAGGAGTTTGCCTTTCAACCAACATTGCCTTTCTCGTTTGTGTCGGTTCCGTATCGACGCTAGCCGTGCTTTTAACTTCCGCTTTCCTTCATGTTACAGAGTGAAAATAATTATACACCGAGAGACGGTCCATGTTTCTTACAAAACGCTCGTAGATTTTTTCATACAACAGTTAAAGGCCACAAATTGAAATTATAATAGCGCTTTCTCGCTGAAAGAGAACTTGATAAATGTTACAATTAGTAGCAAACAAACGTGTTTGGTGTGATTGCATGAATGAAGTGTACAAATACAATTTCGTTTATTTTTTAATTTAATAGTTAATTATAATAAATAGTAATCAATTAAAATGAGAGTGATGTTACGATTATATTTTTAACGATAATTTCAAATATTGATCGGGGTATTTTAGAAGCCAATTCATACAAGAGCTTATATCGCTCCTCTTGCTCCCTCTCAACGTGCAATTTCAGCTTCATTGCCGTGTGTGCGGGCTTTATAATGCTTTCGTTGAAATCCCCTCCCCCACCCATTATGAATAAAAATATCACGTCGGGATATTCTGGAGTGAAACTATTATGCGAGACCTACACTCTTGAATCTCCACGGGATCCGTGTAGAAACTGGCCCGATACTCCTGGCGGGTTAATACGCCATTCACACGCGATATTATTCGCAGAAGGTTACACATTCGTGCGCATTGGTCACGTTCGTGTCGAGTCCGACGGTTTTATGCAGACGTCTATCATTTTACGTCGCCGCCATCGCCGTCTTCGATGAGTATTTCTCATTCCCCCTCCCCCTCCTTCTCCCCCCTCTCTCATGCGCCCATTTTTCGAACTTCCGTTTCACTGTACACACGAGAAGATCGGCGTGCAAATGCTCTGTCGAAGAAGACAGGAAGCCCATATGTACGTGCTGGGAGTGCGTGAGCCGACCAACCGACGATCGTCCCCATCGTATGAAGCGCTTTCCGTGCTTCGGCTATTAAAAACTCGGTATGGTCTCGCCTTATCTCGCCGTCAAGATCGACGAAGCCTGGGCCGCCACGCAGAGCGCCGTGTATCGCGGTTTCGATCGGTTTCCTCGCAGGGAACACCGTTGTTGCATTGGCTCGGGAGAATCTCGCGCATCGTTGAAAGGGGCCCACCTGGCACGCGTAGGGCCCCATCTGCGGCGGTCGATTCATTCGGGGCCTCCGTGAGAACACCAAGCGCCTACCTGCTCCGAACAAAAGAGACCAAGAGCCTGGTGTCCGCGTGCGAAAAATATATTCACGCGTCGACGAATTTTCGGCGGTGGCGAAACGACCGTGTCTTCGGATCGATCGAACGATCGATCTTTAAAGCCCATTGGCTTTGGTAACGGCGCAATCTGAACAAGAACACGACTCGATACAAATCGAGAAGCGGTGAGTAAGATGCCGATTGAACGCGGCAGATGGGCAGACGTTAAGCACTTTAAAAGATTATTTGATTGATCGATAACGATGGAGGATAATCTAAAGAGTTAATGCACGAAGAAAAGAGGCAAAATGAAGATAATAAAGAAACGAGCAGTTTCGTTTCATTCAAATAAATTTGCGATGACGAACGCTTTTATCCCCCGAAGTTATCGAAGTAATAAAACTAAATAAATCCGGATAAAAAATATTGAAATAAAAATGCGTTTCAATAATAAGCCCATAGCTTCAAAGTAGCATAAAATTAATTTTATAAAATTAAAGGTTTTAAAATGGAATTAATAAGAATAATATCATCAAAATAGGTCTTCATTAGATGTATCGAGAAAAATTTCTGGTCGAAAATGGACAAACCAGAAGAATTCTAATCATATAAATTGAAGTTCCGATTGTCCAAATGTCCATCATATTTGGTTATCTCGACTAGAATTCTGATTGATATGGTCAGAATTTTCATCCATTATTATCGACTAGAAATTTTTTCGATTTGTGAAATTTTTTTCCACATATTGTTTTGTGTCAGAGTCTCGTAAAAATTTGAACACATTTATAGCTTCAATGTTGATTGAAAATTATAGAAATAGAGATTTAAAAAGCAATTAAGTATAATATTATCAAAGTAGGTTCTTTATAATTTGTAGAACACTTAAGATGCAAGTTATCCTTTAAAAAAATGTAGTATAAAAATTTAAATTCGGATCATATTTGTGAAATTTGAATAGCTCAGGAATCTCTAGACAAAAGTGAGTTTTTTACCGGTAGCTTACCTTACCACCGAAGTTGCTTAGATGGAGGAAAAGTCACGCGCGACGAGAAAAACCTTACGGAACATCCGCCGTAAACAACCGCGCTGTTTCCGACGAACTTTTACTGCACGCGGGATTTCTTATCGGCGCAGATAAAATCGAGAAACTTTACAGGTTCCGGAGAAGGGGACCCCATCGTTCTTTACACATCGTAATACCCGAAGGCACCGAACGCCTGAAAAATCTCATACGCCGGCGCTAGCGCTGGCGAGAGCTTCTCATTTACGTCCACCGATATATGTGCGGTCGAGGTGAATGGCGCGTCGTCCTCGTTTCCTCGGTATCTCCTGGCTTCATCGTCAACAGTATCGTGTGCATAGCTCCATCGCGGTGTTGAAGGAGATCTCGCCCGAGGCGGTCGTAGTCGCATTGTACTTTATATTCATGCAAAAACGTCGAAATAACTTCCAGGCGCGGCGCACTCACTTCGCAGACCAAAAGCCAGGGCAGGAACGTTTGATCCTCCATCGAGATCGGGGAAACATGCGCGCGCGTGCGATCGTCTCCGTGGTATATTTTCAGCCAGTTCTGCCGCGCTTCTTGGCGTTCCTGTTTGCGAGATGACTACGCGCAAAGGAACCGTAGCCGCGTTACATAGCCACCGCTCTGTGCGCGGACGATGAAACGATCAAAGAGCAAAGGGAAGGTGTATTTCGGTATTTGGTCGAGCGAGTGGAGCTGACGCGACGCGATGTCGAGCTTTTCATCCCTTTCGCTCTGGAATACTGTCGCGATGTGGCATTGCCCTTGAAAAGAGAGTTACAGACATTGCCAAACATGGATCGGGAAAAAACTCTTTAGCCAGGATCAGATCTTTCGATTCGCTTCATAATGGAAGTTGTAAAGACCTTTTGTACCCGGAAATCGTGACATCGATTGCTCACCTCGATTCCTTCCTTCTACCTCGCGTGAGAAGTAGTCTTGAGGAGTTCATAGATAGCGCGACACTTGATTTTATGGGTTGCACTCTTTTAAACTCTTCTCGCAACTTCCTTTGATCTCTCGAGTTATTACGCTTACTTTATGTTGGAAGTCGAAGCACGCGCCGCATCGGAGTTTACTTCGCTACACGTAGAACGACGTTAAACGTGAGATAGTATCCTCGATACTCACGAACAGATAATTTATGTTGTGTACCGCGATCTCCTGAATAAAAGGTCTTACTGTGCATTACGATTGAAATGCCGTGTGTACAAATGCGGAGAAATAATTTTCTTTCGCAATCCGATAGCGTATCGCGAAAGTGAAGAGGTCACCAACTACGTCGACGGAATATTGATATCGTAGAAAAAAAACTTTTTATTCGTCTAGATGTACAAACCAGTGGAAGTGAGATCCATCCCGTTATAGACTATTAATAACCACTAGAAATCGATAACCACATCGACACGTCTTCGAACATCTGCAAACATCTTTCCCGACAATACAAACGCTTTAAGCCGTTGAAACATGGTGTGCCTCGAAAGATACGACTATAAATCGAATCCTCCTGCCGCAGGTAGTCACGTATTTATACAGGTTCCACGAAATCGCAGGTTCCCACTCTCGCGGAGTGGAATCATCTCGTTCTTAATATTCCTCTCCTTTTTTCTCAAACAAGAACGATATTTATGACTATACGCAGAGAGGAAAAAAACGTGCGGGCTGATACGATCGATCTGATGGAAATAAAAAAAACCGCGATGATCTATCCTTGATTGAGGAGGATTCAGATCTGTATGCAGATAGAGCGCGTGACCGATCGAGTTCATGTGAACCTGACTAGACGCATCTGCCCGTGGGCTAAATAACAGCCGGCGAGAGGAGGACCGGTATCTAAGAAGAATCTACGTCGCCAACGAGCGAACGTCGTGGAGGGAAGACGATGTATGTAAGCACGAGGCAGGACCAAGGAAGAGGCAGCGCGCGGCAAAGGAAAAGAAAGGCGATATCCTCTACGTGCGGTCTATAAAGACGCTGCGAACCCACATCCCCGCGGCTGCTGCGCCGCGGGGGAGGTTGACATGTTTATTTCGCTCCGTAATCTTCTCGGATTACGTTACCGAGAAGCAAGAGAGAGAGAGAGAGAGAGAGAGAGAGAGAGAGAGAGAGAGAGAGAGAGAGACAGACGAAAAATGAAGAGAAACGAACCAAAGAAGGAACAGTTGACCTTCGGGGCGGAATTCTGGATAGTACCTACAGGGCTCGACGCGTGTTCCAAAGGGATTCCTTGTGGTTGTCGGTTCATCCTTGAGGAATGCTCACGTGGTTTTCGTGGATTAGTTTCGCACGTTCGTGACGTATACAATGTTCGGCGGAAACTATGTTAAATTACAACGCACATCGACGCGTTACGCGTCTTGTGGAATGTAGACAGAACAAACGGAAGCAATGAAACAAGAGAAATATTTCTAATACGTTTTCGTGCAATGAGAAATCGAAATTTACGTGAAAAATCGTATATTCTAATAATTTAAATTAGTACGTCGTGAAACAAGAAGAAATTCGTTCATTAAAATTATCGATTATTAAGACGTTGGAATTTATATCCAACTAATCCGGTAGGATTATCTCCGTTTATTGCCAGCGAAAATTGAACTACCGGAGCGTTTGACTTCAATAAAATTTATAATCGCATCTATCCTATTCGACTGACCTTTTTCCCACAAGCATAATATCGTTCATCAAGATTTCTCAAATATGTGACTGTATAATAAAATATAATAAATGCATACAATCCCTGATCCTTCTAAATTGAGAAAGATGAATCGCTTCAAGAACCGGTAGCTGAATCCTTTTGGCTAAGTCCAGTCTGGTAGTTGCTCTACCTGTTGTCATACGATACTCGAGATGCATCGCGAACATTCAAACCGTTCTCGTATCGTGCTCGCTTTCTACTTGCTACGAAAAAGAATATCATCTTTGCTCGGTAGTCGTGAACGCTGACGATGCGCCTACATTCTGCTACAAGACGGTTACCTGTATGGTTTACCTGAACAAATATCACGAAAGAAAGAAGGGGCCGGTAGTCGGCTTTTTTGACCGGCTTTTCCAACCAAATGGAGTCCAAGCGGAGAACAAGCGGATTCGTGTCAACTATAGTGTGAAATGCCATGTGGCTGTCGCACATGGCGCAATACCGTTGAGTGTTTTAAAACTTTGAATGGATAATATCAAGCGCGTTTATAAATTGAGTTCTCGTCTCGAAGGATTAGGACGAGCCTGAGATGGGAAATTTGTAGAGGGTACTACGATACGTGGTCACATAATGCGCATGTTACATGAATCTTCGTTGGATTATTCCACGTCATGAATCTTCAAGAGCATTTTTCGACCTGTATATTCAGCACACAACAGTGGTTTTATCGATTTTCAAAGAACTTATTCTGTTGAAAATCGATGTGCACAGATTTAGTCTGGCATGGAATATAAAATAAGATGTTTATAGATTACATAAGAATTCTAATAACTATTAATTCCGGCATTAAAAAAAAGTTACAGTATT